CTAATGTGCAGATTTGATTAGGTTTTGATTAAAATCCGCGCATATTAATTACCTAATTTGCATGACAATTAACTGATTTTCACTGATATAAAGAGGTACTCATCGGATTTTGATGAAACTTGGTACATAGGTACATTAAGTTTTAGTTAAAATTCCATGCATACTAATTACCTAATTTGTATAATGATTTGTTATTTTTTTTTACTATTCCACTGATATCTTGGTACATAGATGTCATAGGACAATGCACAGACCTGATAATTATTGGATTAATATATGTGCATATTAATTGCCTAATTTGTATAATAAGTATTTATTTAGCTTTCCCACTGATATTTCAAGTACCAATCTTCACATTTCAATGAGACTTGATACATAGATGCTCTATAACTAATCACAGTCCTGATTAGTTTTTGGTTCAAATCTATGCATACTAATAACCTAATCAACAGATTTTGATGAAACGTGGTACGTAGATGCCCCGGGATAATGCGCAAAACCGATTAGTTTTAGGTTGAAATCAATGTGATATAAGTACTGTTGCTGATAGGGACATTCAACCGGTGCTATAATTTTGTCTAATAAGATATATAACCAAAATAACAATACAATATGGTCATTATTTCATTAAATATTTACAATTGTTAAACCAAAGACACTAGAAAATTCTCCATAAGTACCGCCACACACATCTTTGAAAATGACACCATTTTGTAAATAATCGTGTAATTTGCATAACCACGCTGTGAAAACAAGGATTACCGCGGGATTCTGCGGGATTTAAGGACTTTTTCCTGACGTCATTGCAAAGACAGGGCCGGATTAAATAGCGACAGTATGTCCAACATCGGGATTTTCACCCCGTTATTTTAATCCTTTTAACGGTCACCAACATACGTGAGATCAAAGAAAACAACGCAGTTGCACGTCCCTCGTTTTCTAGTGTCTTTGGTTAAACCATGGTTAAACCTTGCAGTTATATTTATAAATGCTGTATTTGCTTTTGTGTTGCCTCCAATACCTTCAGAACAGGGGAGTCCTTTCTAAGCTTTCTTTGATTTCAGGTGTATTTGTGTAGTTTAATGTATTAATCAATCAATAAATCAACCTATCAATCCATCGAGCAGACTATCACACAAACAACAACCGACCGAGAAACCGACCAGCCAGGTAACCAACCCGACACGACCAACCGATCTCTTACAAATGTATTTGATGTGTGATCAGAGATACAATGATCTTAGTCTCTCAGTGCCATCGTGCAATTGGTACCAACGGTTAGGGTATATAAAGAATTCACTGTACGTTGTATATTGTGTGGCATTATTATCTTAGATTAATATCTGCCTGACTGGGTGTTGCGAGACTCGTTCGGCTAAGCCTGAGTTGTACCCGTGTCGATGGAATGTGGGCTTGGTTAACACACTGTCATTGTGAGCCACCTAACAACTTTCAGGTGAGTTATGTGTCTCAGTGGCGCTACGTCACATCCGTGTATTTATTTACAATGTCAACAAAACATCATTGAGTACTGAAATACTTAGCTGGAATTAATTTTCACTGAAAAGACTATTTTGTGTGTTTTGTATGGAATTTATTTTCACTGATTCTGACGAGTTGAATTTAAAATATAGGAAAAAAAGTATATTAGCTGGATTTTATTTTCACTGAATTAAAGTATTTTACAGTATTCCACGGAACGCTGTACGAATTCCGTTGAATTAAATGTCTAATCTATGAAACTAATTTGTTCATTTATTAAAACTTCATAATTACAACGGCATCAGCCCGTAACATAATGTCGTATTTGTTCCTCCATCCATGTAACTTGCTAACTCTTGTGCAGGATGCAAATTAATTAAAGGGTCACATTCTGTATCTTTCACCAAATGGAGGTGCACATAAACCTGTAAATAGGTGTGGTGGCAATTTCGTGTTTTGATTGGCTGCATTTGTTTCATATGAAACCTTAATGAATAATATATAAATTTAGAAATGAAGCTCCGAATCTTGTGAACAAAGCTACATTTTGATCAAACTCACGCATTACAAAGTCATATACCGTAGAAAATCGCTGTGGACAAATAAAAGAAATGGAAAAAGTTATGCATTCACAGACAAGATTGATCAGTAATAGGTTTATTTATATGTGTTTACGTAAAGCATCTCGCCAATTAAATACTTGTATCACAATTTTCTGGAACGCGCATTCAAAATAAACACAGTGATGATGTTACGTCACACCCCTTTGATGTAGCCGCCAACGCCTATCGCCGAAAAGCAACAGTCTAATCAAATGCTAATTATGCTCGTGGGAAATTATATTGCCAAAGTTTAACTCGATTCTTATGAAGAAGAAGGTATATATAATATGATATACAAATTAGGTTAAAGGGTGATGGTCGTCACGCCGTGCATGTGCGACATTTGTGTTGATTTTCCCACAATCCAATGCGCTCTTCTAATAAAATCACGAGTTTTGACCTGGGCGACTCTTCGTTACCTTCCAATAACCAAAACAAAAAAAATCACCTAATTAAAGCTTGGTAACCTCTCAGTTTGTACTCGTTGGTATGCTCAACAGTTAAATTCGCTATACTAGTATTATGAGACCCATATCTCGCGCATGCGTGGCATGACGACTGCCGCCTTTTAATGATGGTCGGCAAGGGGTATTTTCGTAAGCTTTAATCAATTGTTTTTATTTTGGTAATAATATAATTTCAATAAATAAAAGACATCGGCAAGGTGTAAAACGTAATCAACTATTTTATTAGTCCGTAATTTGCACAATGATCTTATTTTTTGTAAGCGTATAAAAGCACTTCGTATTCAATTTTCAATTTTGATTCTCAAACACAAATTATCAGATATATTATAAAAATGTAAAATGGAATTTGCTTTATCTGTGAAATGTAAAAACCCATTTTTTACTGTAAATGGAACTCATTTTATTTCCAGTGAAAAACGTAAATACTATTTTTTTATTTCCTGTAACCTTTATCAGCTACCCTCCCCTTGCTCCCTTCTTTAATTCGTTAGTTTGCACATTATTAAACAAATAGATGACCCGAGAGAGGGAATTATTACGTGGGCTGTCTGCCGTAGAACCAAAAATCTTCTTTGCATCTCAGAGTTATTGAGATGAACAAATTGCATGGTAATCAACGCCATAACCCCATGCACACTGCATAGGCTGTTGTGTAAATAGGGTGGCGATGGATAAAAAAACAATGTCGTAACATTGAAGTGGGATATTGATAAATTAAAATGTGTAGAAAACATGGAAAAGGAAGACTCTGTCCCTACTAAGCACTTATACTTTATCAATATCGCCCTTGGCAGCCATTTATCTATCGCCGCAATCATTTGTGGAGCGATATTATATGTAGCTGTACTGTATAGTATCCCGAACACATTGAATTCACCATGTTAAATGTCACTATATGGCATGTACGTGAAACATACTGTGTATATTGTCTTTGTACGTGGCGCAGTGCAGTGAATGGCCACCCGGGACGCATGCCGAACTTCGACCTCGTACGTGATTTGCATAAGTTATTCAGCGTAGTAAACAACACTTATATGACACGAATTATCCAAATATCACCGGAAAACAAATGTTCACGTTTGAACAGTGTTTAACATGTATGTACATATCAATATACATTTGGTGGCGTGGTCTATACAGCAAATATTTCAGAGAAAATGTTCATTGAGAATTTCACTGACTCCCCTCACCGAGTCTTGAATTTGTGCCATGTTTGATGCGGTTATATGCGAGCTAGTACTAACACGGAAGTGGATACGTGTGCGTGTGAATTCGTCCATGGGGGCGCTGTGTCCATGTCATTGATCGCTAGATATGTTAGGCTGATCTGCATTGTGATTGGTGTCCCTGCTGCAAATTGCCCGTACGTCGTATCCACATACCTCAATTCTCTCCCGATGCTTAGCGCTCGGTCGTAGAGTATTGTCATGTTTCCTGTCATCACCACTGCGTGCTTGACGACCTGGGTGTATTTAGGTTTATCTCTCTCAGTCCTGCGGTTCTGTTCTGGTTGCCGGCCCGGGGAGTGACTACCTGCTTGTCCTGATTCCGACGTATCCATCATGGCGCTGCCTTGGGGTAGCTTGCCTTCACTTTTCTTCATTTTGTCACCAAATATCCACAATAAATACTTAATATATATATTTATTTCATATTTATAAATAAGCTTTGCTATAGTTGTGTTTTTTCGTCAGGCTTTACCTGAGAATGGTGGGTCCCTCCGAATTCCAACACCGTGAAGCGATGTAAAAGTTGTATAATCATAATTGACATGTTCTTGGTCGCTATCAAAAGCCAAAGTTTTTTTTTTCTTTTTTAAAAAAAGGTTTAGTGTGGCCCAATAACATAATAATCCTCGAAATAGTAATTACATAATACAATTGGCAAAGAGAAGTAATGGAAAATAAAGCCGAAAGTAACACAGAATTGAACAAACCCGCTAACAAAAATGTCTGTCTCTTCACAGAGAATTTAAAGAGACACCAGATCGCATCATAATGAACTGAACATGCTAATGACATAATTAATAATTTTGACGCATTCAATTAATCAAGTCATGTTAAAAAAAAACTACCGCATTTGCTTTATTGGATGTGCGCTTCTAATAAATAAGGCACGTATCAATTTAAGAAAACTATAAACATTGGTTCTATTTTCCATAAATAAATAAATAAATAAATAAATAAATAAATAAATAAATAAATAAATAAATAAATAAATAAATAAATAAATAAATAAATAAATAAATAAATAAATAAATAAGACAAGAAATGGAAACCGTACTAGGAGAAGACACCATTTTCGTAACTACTAGTATTTTTCATCCTTCTACAGTGTCACTGTCCAGGTTTTAATGCAGTTATTAAAGAGGCTTTACAAATGAACAGCGCCACCGATGGCAAACTTGTGTTTTTTTCGTTTGTGTCAACCTTTCTTGGAAAGCCAAAATGGCTGCCTACACATAAAAACTCATATCCATGCGCTTTATTTTCATTATTTGTATCGTTTCAAGAAATGGATCGTTTACCGAAAAAGCGTGCGCTTGCAGCTGTAGGCAATGAATTTGAGAGACCAGAAATAAAAAAACGTCGTGCAGTTGAGCGATTGAGCTCAGAATCTAGCGAAGATGGTAAGCGAACTTTAACATTACCTTGTTAGACAATGGTCAATACGAAACATAATATTTCCTCAGTCTAGTCTGAGGTCAGTCTCAGTTAGAGCCTGCATACGCATTTTCTGTTTATAATAATTGGCTATTTCGTTGTTTATAGCCTGTGTTTATGATGGTGGGAACTATGCTTTTTTAACTGAGATGATCTGATTAGACACCTCTCTGCACTGAACAGCTGATATGTAAATTAATGTACTAGTACTACTAGTATTCTCAGTAAGGGAGTTAACATTTTCAAATCGGCGTGGTGAATTTTTTTTTTCACATATGCCTGACAATAATTTGTTTACATTATGCATTCGTCGAGCAAGATAACATAAAAAGTAAAATAAAATATTTATAGTGGACAAATGTGAACTGATTCAATCCTTGGTGATATTAATCAAGCTTTACAATTGGAAACACAAATATGTTTGCTCATGGAGCTCCATGGTTTGCTGAAGACAAACTTAGTAATTTTTTGACATATTTAATCAACATTAAACTACCTGGTGGGAAACTGTCTAACTGTATTTTTAAGTGTAAACCATTAAATTTTTTGACCACAAATGTCACAGTTAGGTAAATAATTGATGAATAAATTTGATAAGTCACTGGTGACTCAATCCATGTAAAAAATCCCCAGTGGAATTTGCACTGGTACATGATTGCTCCAAATTAAAGTTAATGGTATAAATTAATTTGCAAATTTGTGTTTTGATTTCAGATTCAGACAGCGATGGACTACAGATTGCCGGATTTGGTTTTGGGGGTGGTGAAGTTTCTACCTTTCAAAATGCGAACACTTCATCGCCATCAGAACCAGAAGCTGTCCCACATGAAAGCAAATATAATCCTCTTGCTTTGAAAATGATGGTAATTAAACTACTAATGAGAATTGATAATTTATTAGTGTGTAGTTTATGAACGTTATAATAAGTTATATTTTTTACTTTTTCTTAATTCAGCAAAAAATGGGTTACAGGAAAGGAAAAGGTCTGGGAAAGCATGGAGAGGGGCGAGTGGATATCGTTGAGGCTTCTAAACAGCGAGGACGACGAGGTCTTGGTCTAGTGGTTGAAGGATTTGAAGGAGGTGAAGATGTTAATTGGGAAGATGAAGAGGAAGTAAGTTACTATGGAAATTAGGAATTCTAATTCTTTGACTCAAACTTTGGTAGAAAACCCACAATGCCCAGTATATTGTTATTGTGAACAAATGATTGTTTTCTGGTCATTGCTATATTGGCTGCAAACACACTGGAGTAGTTTGTTACTGTCATGGCAACAATGGATGAAACAAATCAGCAATATTGCCAGCTATTTGGCAAACCATACAGCTAACAATGGAACCTATGATTTGATTTGGAGTCGAATTATTATCAAGAGGATGCATTATATTTACTGCAAAGGGTCACACTCTCAATCCTTTAAATTCATACCTGAGATTTTACTATTTTACCAGATTCGAATAAAATATAGAGGAAAGATTCAACAGTGTTACTCTGAGAAAAGTGACTCGTATTCGAACCTTTTTTCAAAAAAAAATTTTATGACCGATAATAAATAATTCAAATATTGTCAAGTAGGTTTCTACAGACTTTGGTTTCAGTCAATGATGGCTTGCTTGTTTTCAACAATTAGCGACCGATTGGCTTTTGAGTTTTTACCATTCCAGTATGTTGATTTTATTTTACCATATTATGAATTGTACCAAGTGGTTTCCTTGTGAACACAGCTATTGATTGAACTGATGATCTGTCTAACTACTCTTGTACCACAAACAAACAGGTTTTCTGATTCGTCCATCATTTTTTATGGTTGACATCTTGCAAGATGAACTACGTTTCAAATGAGTAATACATAATTATAATAATTTAAATTTTTTTTTTTGCTTTCAAATTTATTATTTATTAATATCACTGCAACTGTATAGTTGGACAATTAACTGACATTATTGCTGATTTAGTGTTCCATTCATTATTGTGATGACAGTAATAAAATTATTTTTCTTGTTAATTTTAATGATTAATTAATATTTACTCCCAGGCATCATCAGATGAAACTGTTGATTGGTTGCCACAATGTCATTTACCGATTCCAGAATATGAAGAATGTCTTACTTGGATGGAACAAGGTCCAGTAAGTGAAATAAACAATACAATAACACAATGACTGCCATAATATAATTATTGCAGTAAAAATAGAATAGAATAGAATAGAATAGAATAGAATAGAATAGAATAGAATAGAATAGAATAGAATAGAATAGAATAGAACGTAACAAATATTACATTTCTTTTTTTGATTATGTACATCAATGAAGTTGAAAAATTTAAATAAAAAATTGTAATGTAAAAAGAAAACATAGTAATGTATTAAGTAAAGAATATATAATAAAAATAGCAACATTAGACTATACTACTAGTTACTTCTACTCACTCAAACTTTTGCAAAGGACAAAACAATATCTTCTCTCAGACTTGAATTTCACATGCATGTATTTAATAACAGATAGCAGCCACTCACTACCAATCAGAGGAATAGTTGTGATTGTATTATCAAGTTACTTTTTAATTTTACAGAGAAAACGTCGGATAGATGATGAAAACGAATTTTGCAATCCACAAACATTAATGAATTTGCTGGCGTGCAAGGTATGCTGTTTTTTATTAGTCCCTGTTCGGACCGAAAACGAGGACTTATCAATTAACATTTGTGCGTGCGTGTGTGCGTCTGTATCTTAGACATGCCTGGACCACTCACATTCAAACTTCACACATGCATCATATATTAATATTATACATATGCACATCAATTTGTTTCACAATCTGTTTCAAGATGGCCGAAAAAATCATAATATCAAGCAATTATGGATGGATTTTGTTCAAACTTGGTACATCCGTTGAACATTATGGAACCTTCATGCACATCATTTTATTTTTCAGATCGGATTTAAAATGGCTGGCGGTGATTTTTTTTTAATGAATGCGTTATAGAGCCATATCTCTGACATCATGTTATAAGTATATAGATGTATTCACAATGGCAGACCGCTGGCCATTTTGTTTTAATTAATGCTGTTCCAGAGCAATATTTCTCAATATGGATAAGTACTCGTTTGACGATCAGATACAAGATGTCAATCATTTTAATGTTAAGAAATCATCATAATCAAGCATCATCTTCTATATCCATATCTTTGACATGTTTATATTGCTATAAACAAAACTATATATCTTAAATTTGATAACTACCGGGGATTGTGCCATGTTTCATTTATTATTGTTTCCTTTGTGGAAAAGCTACATTGTTCTGAACATATTTGTAATGTGATGACCACTTCTCAGTGTGCTGTCAATTGCTGCTATCAAAGTCATTTGCCATTTCAAAATATGTTATTGATCTTTATATGTTTCAATATATATTGATCACATCAAATTAGTAACTTGGGAAATTGTCATCATTGACAGTTTCCGTAATTTATCTATTCGTACCAATTACAAATCAAATATTTTTTGAAAGCTTAGATATTGGAGAAAACGGATAGGTTTGGTTATTTACTTCGATCATTTGGGCGCTGTTGTCAATATCTGTTGTCTTTCACAAAATAAACCAGTGTAACTTGAAGGCATTCATTGGTTTGAATTGATCACAAGAAATCTGCTGCCTCCCAAAGTTGATTGATTCAAACCTTATACACATATCTGTGAATTCTACTTATAGTGAATTTCTAATTTATTCACTAACTATAGAGCACATTTGACAAGCTGGATTCTGAAGAAATGAGACAAGCAAGGACACGATCCAATCCCTATGAAACCATACGTGGCGGTATATTTCTGAATAGAGCAGCCATGAAGATGGCAAATATGGATTATGTGTTTGATTTTATGTTCACCAATCCAAAAACACTAGATGGGGTAAGTTGTAAAACTTTCACACATTTCTTACTGATATTCCAAGTCTCTACGTAACCACAGTGAACTGCTACAGTAAGATAAAGGGTATTTTGGATTGAAACAACTTTATTGTTTTAATGTAAATGTGGTAGCACATGCTTTTCTAGTTTTTACTAAACTTGTGATAATAGGTTTATATATCAGGGACTACATGTGTGAAATTTTAGCTAACCTGCAAGAAACTAGAAAATTCATGGAATCAACGAAAAAAATTGGATGTCATACCACAAATTGTAATTACTCTATGTGTAGTGCATGAACTTACATAAATGACAATGGTGTGTCTACAACTGTATGTGTGTCCTATTAAATCAATGATCCAGTATACACTAAATGTTATTATTGATTTTAATGTGCTTCTTATGGAGATGCAATTCTAATATGGTATAAAAATTGCTATAGTGTGTAAGAATAATATAAGAAATATCTGTGTTTTGCCAAGGGCTAACTCACTGGACACACTCAACAATAATAGATCAGACGATCCCCAGTAACTAGTATTGCGGGTTGATAATATGCAAATAACACAAAGATTTTCACAACAATACACCTGGTCAGTTCTGTGATATTTATTCCAACGTTTCGCCCTAGAATTAGGGCTTCTTCAAGAAAACTGTTGTAAAACTGGACACATGTATATATGCTCATTTGTGTGTCATTTTGGCTATGAAAATTTATGTACAAATATTTGATATTCAAAATTACATCACAAAATTAATTTATTGTGTTTTATGCATAGCAACCGCTTGTCAAGGGTAATGAATTGTTGTATTTTGCTGATATATGTGCCGGACCTGGTGGTTTCTCTGAGTATGTCCTTTGGAGAAAGAATTGGCATGCTAAAGGTTTTGGTTTTACCCTCAAAGGAGCCAATGATTTCAAGTTAGAAGATTTCTTTTCTACTTCACCAGAGTTATTTGAACCTTACTACGGTAAGCATTGGTAATTAAAGAATAATATGTTACGTTGTAGATTGCATATGATTGAAAATTTTAAGTATTTGTATATATACCTCTTAACCTTTGACCTCTACCACATCACATTTTGTGTATATACACTGGTCACATGACATTTTGTGTATATATACTGGTCACATGACATTTTGTGTATATACACTGGTCACATGACATTTTGTGTATATACACTGGTCACATGACATTTATTTTGTTTACTACACAGGTGTTGATGGTATAGATGGCGATGGTAACATTTACAGATCCGATAACCTGAAAGAATTTCAAAGATTTGTTTTGCAAAATACAGATGGTAAAGGCGTTCATTTTGTCATGGCAGATGGTGTAAGTTACTCACAAACTTCTACTTTTTTAATATTGTATTTTCATGATTACTACAGTACTTTGAATATAAATTTAGGCAAAGTTACATTCATTATTTGCAATCTTATTAAAACCTGATGATTGGGAAACATATTGTTTTTAAAACTAAAACATAAGTTGATCAATTTTATTGATAATTTAACTATAACTAAATGTTTTGGGAACCAAGGATTAAAGATGGTGATTGGTGAACTAACTGAAAGAATATCTAACATTCATTTTGTAAAACAAGTTTCAGTTGACCAAGTTATTAAGGTCATTCACCAAGTTTTAAATATTCCATAACTGGCAATATTTATTATTGAAATTGTTATTTTTATTTCACTTTTAATTTAACAGGGTTTCTCCGTGGCAGGTCAAGAGAATATTCAAGAGATTCTCAGCAAACAACTTTTACTATGTCAATTTTTATGTGCGTTGTCAATAATTAGAGAAGGTATGTCTTTTTTTCTATATTTCTAGTTAACGAGCCGCCATCTATGATCATAATATTTTTAAAAATCTATGAACAATGGACAAGTGAATTGATCGAGTGTTGTGGGTGGGCATTACGTATGGTTAGTCAGTCAGTCGTTAGTCAGTTTGTACATGCAGATTCCCATGATAATATATTGAAATCTTGGAGATAGCCAATCAGTAATCACACAGAATTCTGTGCTGATTACGTAGTTACATTGTGATTCACCAGGCCATTCTCCTAGTTACCATATGCCAAGACGTGGTCTCTTTTGATTTTTGTAATGGAATTTGTTGTAAATGATATGTTACTGGGTTAAAATGGTATCTTGATTAAAAGTGATGTTACTGGTTTGGAAAACTGCATCCAGCTGGAAGAGACACAAAGATGTCAGTCCTGTGTGTATGTTATTCCTGTCCTTGGTGCATGTATGCTTAAAAAGTAGTTGATTACTGGAGATTGCGTAGACTTTTACAAGAACGTAATTAGTTAGTGGTGTACCATTTCTTTGTGTTCATAATCCTATGACAACAATAAGTGTGCTGTAATGAACAATTTCTATTTGTTTCAGGTGGTAATTTTGTCTGTAAAACATTTGACTTATTTACTCCATTCAGTGTTGGATTAATTTATCTCCTGTACAGAGCATTTCAGAGAGTAACTTTATTTAAACCTGTCACAAGTAGACCTGCAAATTCCGAAAGGTGAGTTGTTTATTTCACATGCTTATCCATTGGAGAAAATGTTTTAACAGTTTCCTCTGTGTGAATATGTTGATGATTTTCGAAGTGATTAACAGTAATTGGGTGTTTCTTCACCATTTCATCAGGTTCAGACCTGACTAATGTATGTTTCTAATAATTAGGTATGTTGTATGCCAAGGTCTGCGATCTGACACCAAACCAATACATGATTATTTATTTGAAGTCAATATCCATCTAAATAAATTAGAAAACACAAATCAGGACATCACTGATGTTGTGCCATTGGAGATGATAAAGGAAGATAGAAATTTCTTTGAGTATGTTACCAAGTCACATGAAAGGTAAATAGTTTGCATTCTGTCAATACTCGTAACTAGTAACCTGAACCCAAACCTTGTGTAAACAAACCTGTCTGAATCCAAACCCTGTGTAAACAAACCTTTCTGAACCCAAACCCCGTGCAAACAAAGCTTTCTGAATCCAAACCCTGTGTAAACAAAACTTTTTGAACCCAAACCCTATGTGAACAAACTGTCTGAATCCAAACCCTATGTAAACAAAGCTTTCTGAATCCAAACCCTGTGTAAACAGAACTTTCACAACCCAAACCCTATGTAAACTAGAAATCTGTCTGGATTCAAACTCTTTGGAAATGAGAAATCTGTCTGGATTCAAAAACTGTGTAAACTGGAAATCTGTCTGGATTCATACTTTGTGTAAACTGGAAATCTGTCTGGATTCATACTTTGTGTAAACTGGAAATCTGTCTGGATTCATACTTTGTGTAAACTGGAAATCTGTCTGGATTCATACTTTGTGTAAACTGGAAATCTGTCTGGATTCATACTTTGTGTAAACTGGAAATCTGGCTGGATTCATACTTTGTGTAAACTGGAAATCTGGCTGGATTCATACTTTGTGTAAACTGGAAATCTGGCTGGATTCATACTTTGTGTAAACTGGAAATCTGGCTGGATTCATACTTTGTGTAAACTGGAAATCTGGCTGGATTCATACTTTGTGTAAACTGGAAATCTGTCTGGATTTATACTTTGTGTAAACTGGAAATCTGTCTGGATTCATACTTTGTGTAAACTGGAAATCTGTCTGGATTCATACTTTGTGTAAACTGGAAATCTGGCTGGATTCATACTTTGTGTAAACTGGAAATCTGGCTGGATTCATACTTTGTGTAAACTGGAAATCTGTCTGGATTCATACTTTGTGTAAACTGGAAATCTGTCTGGATTCATACTTTGTGTAAACTGGAAATCTGTCTGGATTCATACTTTGTGTAAACTGGAAATCTGGCTGGATTTGAACTGTTTGTAAACTGTAAGTCTGTCAGGATTCAAACTTCTAGTACATGTATGTGTAAATGTATCTTTTTTTCATTCAGCCTAGCCATACAACAAGCAAGAGCATTAAAGAAAATCCAAGCATATGCTCAAAATACAAACTTGTTTGATTCAAAGCAAGCAGATATGAGAAAGGAATGCTTAAGAAAATGGGGTGTAAGTGACATTATTTTATATCACAACATTTACACAAACATTATCACTCAAAGAATGATTGAAATGCCAGTAAATATCAGGCTATATTAATTTATATATAGTAACAATTGTTCAAGTAATGACAGTCCCTAAATATTAATAACAAAACAGTAGTCATAAATCTATACATATTAAATATTTTAGATCATTTAGAAATTGTATTGCTAATACTATCTTGTTGTGTAATACTTGCACCAAGCATACAACACAGCGCTACGATTGAACATTCATATTCTAGATTCCAGGTGATACTCGGTCAGCTCCAAAGATTTCAAGTGCAATGGATAAATTCTACGAACTCACTAAGGTATACTATCCAGTGTTTACTAATTAATGGTAGTCACCCCCCCTATGTTTAGTAGTAATGTTAGTCGCCCCTAGTGTTTTCATAATAATGATAGTCACTTCTAGTGTTTACAAATAATGTTAGTAACCCCTAGTGTTTACTAATTAATGGTAGTCACTCCTAGTTTTTACTAATTAACGTTAGTCACTTCTAGTGTTTATTAATAATAGCAGTCACTTCTAGTGTTTACAAATAATATTAATCACTCCTAGTGTTTACTGATAATGGTAGTCACTCCTAGTGTTTACAAATAATGTTAGTAACCCCTAGTGTTTACTAATAATGGTAGTCACTTCTAGTTTTTACTAGCAATGGTAGTCACCTTCTTTGTTTACGAGTAATGGTAGTTACATCTAGTATGTATTAGTAATGGTTAGTCACTACTAGTGTTGTAGTGGATCTAGTCAGCTCTTGTATTACGTAGCAATTGTAGTTTAATACCTCCTGTGTTTACTACTATTGGTAGTCACTCTCTAGTATAATTGTAGTTACCTCCTTCAAATATTGACCTAACCCAAGGCTAAGTAAAGGTCAAATATCTGAATGATACACAATAAGAGTATCTGTATCTTGATAATGGCTTGCAGACAATTAACTCAGGGATGTAGTTCATTGGTTTAATATATTTTATTTTTATTTACTCATAGGAGAGGAATAACGATTACTTTCACTTCAAAGCTACAAAACTCAGTCCAGAAATCTTGCATCAGAAATTACACAGTGTTTATGATTATCGATGTATGATATCCAGTGGTGAGAGATGTTTTATCCTGAGTCTTGGCGTAAGTACCAAGGTAGTGAGTTTGGGCGTAAGTACCAAGGTAGTGAGTTTGGGCGTAAGTACCAAGGTAGTGAGTTTGGGCGTAAGTACCAAGTTAGTGAGTTTGGGCGTAAGTACCAAGTTAGTGAGTTTTGGCGTAAGTACCAAGGTAGTGAGTTTTGGCGTAAGTACCAAGGTAGTGAGTTTTGGCGTAAGTACCAAGGTAGTGAGTTTGGGCGTAAGTACCAAGGTAGTGAGTTTGGGCGTAAGTACCAAGTTAGTGAGTTTTGGCGTAAGTACCAAGGTAGTGAGTTTTGGCGTAAGTACCAAGGTAGTGAGTTTTGGCGTAAGTACCAAGGTAGTGAGTTTGGGCGTAAGTACCAAGGTAGTGAGTTTGGGCGTAAGTACCAAGGTAGTGAGTTTGGGCGTAAGTACCAAGTTAGTGAGTTTGGGCGTAAGTACCAAGGTAGTGAGTTTTGGCGTAAGTACCAAGGTAGTGAGTTTTGGCGTAAGTACCAAGTTAGTGAGTTTTGGCGTAAGTACCAAGGTAGTGAGTTTTGGCGTAAGTACCAAGGTAGTGAGTTTGGGCGTAAGTACCAAGGTAGTGAGTTTGGGCGTAAGTACCAAGTTAGTGAGTTTGGGCGTAAGTACCAAGTTAGTGAGTTTGGGCGTAAGTACCAAGGTAGTGAGTTTTGGCATAAGTACCAAGGTAGTGAGTTTTGGCGTAAGTACCAAGGTA